CCGCCACCACACACACACAAACACACACACACACACACACACACTCAGTCTTCTCCATTTCAGGAAAAGGTGGCTCCTGCCTTCCAAGTGCCAGACTACACAACCATGGCATCATCCTTGACTCCTTTTATTTTTCTTTTCTCTTCCACTTCATTAATAATCCTCAGAGAATCCTGTCAGCTCTACCTTCAAACTATATCCAGAAACCAACCACCTCTTCCCATTTCTCCTGCTACCATTCTGTTCCAAGCCATCATCATCTCTTGCATGAATTATTCAGTAACTTCCTAACTGATGTCCATAACTTTCCCAAAATAACAGCCAGACAGTACCTTTAAAATGTAGGTTAGATCATAACTCCCACAGCTTTCTTCTTACTCAGAGCAGAAATCTAGAATCCTTAAAACTTCCTACAAGGCCCCTATTACTACCTGTCCAACTTTATCTCCTTCTGTTCTTTTTCTTGCTCACGCAGTTGCAGCCCTGTGGCTTCTCCCCTATTGCTTAGCCATACTAATTCCACTCCCACCACAGGGCCATTGTATTTGCTGTTCCTCTGCCAGGAATGCTTTTCTATCAGATGACATCATAGCTTGGAGATCATTTCCTCACTTCTGTCAGGTCTTTACTGAAATATCATCTTATGCTTAAAGCTCTCCCTGGCCATGTGGAGAACTTCCCGCCTCAAAAAGAGGCCTATTGCTCTTCCCTGCTTTATTTTTCACCTTAGCACCTTTACTTCATATATTTTATGTATTTGTGCTGTATATTCTCTGAAACCTCCAATAAATTCTAAGTCCAGTGAAATCTGGATTTTTTTTTTTTATTCACTGCTGTGTTCCTAGTGAGTAGAATAGTGTCTGTCACATAATAAAAGGTTTTGAGTAAATGAATGAGCAAATGTGGGGGTGAATAAATACAGGAGTTACAAGACAGACCCAATCCTTGACCTCATGAAGCTGACAATCTCTAGATTAGTGAATGGAGTCCAGTTTATGAAATTCTGATGGAAAAAAAGAAGTGAGAGAGAGAGAAGGGAAAAAAAATCCAAAAAAGGCAGACACCAAAACTTCATGGGTTGCCTATATATAGAAGTGGGTCCAGTGAAGGAAAGCTGAGCCTCTGTTAAAAAAGAAAAAGAGGGAAATGAGAATAATGCAAATATTGGAAGCAGAGAGAAAGAAGGTTCAAGCAGTACGAGGACTATAAGTAGATGCTAACGGGAATAATCATCATCTCTATTAATAGTTAATATAAATCAAGATCCATGCAGAAATTTTTCCAGTTCCAACATTGGCTTCAGAAGGATGCAAAGCTAGAGGTATGCAGTGAGACAGGGCTGCTTATTGTGCACAACCCACAGGATGTAGGCACTTAAAAGGAATAATGCCTTTCTGTAAATGACAGCAGGAAACAAAAGAATAACCTGGTAACAATTTGACATTAGAAGCTTTGCTAAAGATAAAGAGGCCATAGTAGAGGAGCATTGTGGAGCAATCCTTTTTCGCTTGATTCGAAAGCCCTCAACCTGTGTCCCGTTCAGGTCAGCATTTATTCTGTGGGCGGACAGCCTTCATGGTCATGGCAGGTCTGAGACACCCATTGGTGGTTCTCATATCTTTGGTTTGACTTTAACTGGTTTTGTGAAAATTAAGTGTTTTTCTGTTTTGAATCCACAGGTTCCATTTTTTGGGCCTCTGTTTGATGGAGCCATAGTGAGTGGGAAGCTACTGCCAAGCCTCATATGTGCCACGTGCATCAACGCCAGCAGGGCCGTGAAGTGCCTCATCCCACTCTACCAGAGCTTGTATCTTTTTGCTTTAAATATGCAACTTATTAACTACCCCAGAACCCAGAATCCTGGCAGTTTTTCATCAGAGGTAAGTATTAACAACCGGGCTGAAGAGGGAAAACGGTTTTCAATTTTTGTTGAAATAACATAATATCATTTGTTAATTTTTATTAACTATAACAATTCCATGTTGCATTAAACTTAGAGGTGTTTTTTTTTCATAATTTAGTCACATCAGTTTGCACTAAGAAGCTGTGACTAAAGAGATGTTCATATGTATGTTCTCGGGTATTTCCTCAAGTTCAGTCTCCTCCTGCATCCACCCCCATTTGTTGCGGTCTGTTGTGAGGTCACTCAGAAGGCCTACCAGAAACCAACAGCAAATGAAATGACTCTAATAAATCAAAGAGTGTGGCAAGTGCCACCAGAGAGTACAAACAGCAGTCGAGGAGGAGGTCAGAGGCAAGAGAAGTCGCATTCCGGTTGGGAGGACAGGAAAAGGTGTCCTTAACCAAGTTGCATTTGAACTCATCAGTAGGAATAGCTAGAAATTCTTTTGTGATTTTCCCAAATCATTACTGTCACTTCTCTAATTCTTGATCTTCTCTAAAAACAGAAGAAATTTCACTTTTGTAATTTTTATCAAACGTTAATTGGCATGCTACCACTTTAAAATCCAGGCATCATCTCTGATTATAAGAAAAAGAAATTAAGGTGACTTCATAAAATTGTTGTAAAAGGCATCTAATCTCCTAATAAACCTTTGTTTCTAACTGGTATTGATAATGATTATAAACATACTGCATTTGACCTGGTTCTCTCTACTTCTCCCAACCTAACCATAAGTGATATGTCACTGGAGGTTGGAGGTGAGGGGTGAGTGAGAAATACCATGTGTGAATAGATACAATTTATGAAAAATACCTTACTTTAAAACCCTGGTCACTTTATTGACTGATATTCTGTTTTTAGATAAAAAAAAAATACATATGCCATGTGGCAACTTGGAATTATCATAGAAATTAGAAGTAGAAAAGAGCTATTAGGTCCCATCTGGTCCCTCCCCAGGGGCCAGGGTAGCATTATTCCCTTCAGCATGCTCCCTGATGCTTTGTTCAGGCTGGCGGTGCGTGTTTGGGAGATGGCATTCTTCGCAGTGATTTCAACAGCACTCTAGACTTAATCTCGTGGCTGGTATAGATTCAGCCTACAGCATGGAGTTTTTATTTCACGTGCCGTTGAAAAGAGGTTTTGGCAGAAATGAGAAAGCCGTGTTCTGCAATTGGTTTGTCAGTTTGCATGTCAACTAGGATGCGTGGGACACTCATCCATCAAATATGTTGAATCAAGGCAAGAAAATTATTTGCAAACAAAAATTCCGTTTTGTATATAAGTCCATTTTGACTTTTGTCACGTCACCTTCTCCACCTATCTAACTTCTCATTATAAAATACATGCTTGGTTATTTTGTTGAACATTGCAGATGAGGTTCTTGCCCTGTGCTTCACAGGAAAGACAAAGAAGCTCATGAAGTTCTGTAAAACAGCTAAATGGGAGGAAGGTGAATGTGGGGGAAAGTCCTCATCCGAGAGAGCATGTACACTGAGGTTAGAGGGATGAGAGAGAAGCTGTGTCCAGGCAGCAGGGAAGCATTTTGGCAGAGGACACTTAGCAAGTACAAGGTCAGAGTGTTTTCAAGTGGTAAATTTGTGGGGTTTTTTTTTAGGATTTTCTGCATGGTCAAGTCCATCAGGGTGCTTGTGACACATGTAAGAGCATGTTTTCAGCAGAGATGGTTTTCTGGGTGGTACCTGAGGAAGCCGAGCTTCCATAACCCTTTAATCTCATGGCCTGCCTTGCAAGTTCTGTTCTGAGTACAGCATCCAGGCTGCCTGAGCCAAGGGCCTCAGGTAGAGAGGAAGTGTAGGGGCCAGATACATGATCATGAGGGTAAACAACCAATGCTCTCCACTGTATTTATTGTGTCCGATGATTTGCCCAACGATGTTGTTCAATGGGCTAGGTGTATTAAATGCATTTTCAACTTACGATGGGTTTAAATTCCATTGTAAATCGAGGAACATCTGTACATGGAAGTAACACACTAAGGCTACATAGGGTTCCTTGGATATTCATGTGAAGTAAGACACCCTTATTTTTTTTCTGCATTCAAAGCAAGATCTGGTTCCAATGGAGAGTGTGGCCTCTCTGGGTAGGCAGGTCTCCTGCTTACTCAGCCATAGACAGTACCACACTTCCCAGGTGCTTTCTTTGGGTCATTCCAAGGTCACTCCAAACTCCAGGCATAACTGGTATTCTGTGCTCATAGGGCGAGGGCCAAGGAGCCGCAGACCACATACTATGTGTGTCTCCTCTGCCCATGTGTATGCTCCATTGTCTCATCAGACTTAAAGTGCAGAACACAAAACCAAAGGAGAAATTGTTAAGAATTTCCAGGTGGCAGCAGCAGAACATTAAACCAAGCAGGGCTTGTCATAAGCAGCTGCTCAGTCACAGGCCCATGAAGCCCTGTCTGGAGCCCATTCTGAACAGCCCCTTACCCACCACCACCCAGTGTGAGTTGGAGAACTCTGGATCTGGAGTTTATTAGATTTGATTCTCCTTCCTAAAGCTGACAGTATATCCCTTGGCAAAACTGTATTGATTTATGAACTAAGACCCTTTAAGGAATGAAGCAGCTTGTGTGCATGGCCCTAGAAGACACAGTTCATTTAAGAGAGCAAAAATCTGAGAAAGAATTACTATTACAGTTTCATTAGAATTAGGTATAGTATGGTATCGGCAAAGAAAGGGACATTTCTTTGTCAACACGGGACATTTATATGGACACTGCTGTGTCCTCGTTTTGTTTCTGATATTTAGATTGCAGTTGTTAAGTAGAACATTGCCAAACTGCTCATTTCATCAAAATGTCATTCGCTTTCTAGGTATCCAGATGACTGTTTTATGAGCAAAGGGCATGCTGTGTAGTTCAGATGTTCTGTAAATCCTTTGTACTGACCATGGAGAGCTAAACATTGAACCTGTTAATGAAGAGGCAGTGGTGTTAGTTTGCAGTAGCTGTTTGTTTCCAGCTAATGATGATGCTTAACTGCCTTGAATAGTGTCGGTTGACATTCAGTCTTACATTTAACTAGAAGTAGAAATGTGGGCAGTTCCATATCAATTTTGTTTAGTAATATTCAAGAAAATACAGCATTTCTTATTAAGCAGAGGACTGGGAGCATTGTTGGGATGGATATGCCTTTGTTTTTTGTAAATCTTAGGATCTTTTTGAGCAGTAAATCCAGCTTAGAACCTATATCAAAGGAGTTCTTATTTGATGTACCCTTGGCTAAATGATAAAAAAAATTAGAACAGTGTGGTGAAGGCTCATAGGAAACTGCGAAATACCATTGACTTACATGATCTAAAAATATTAACACAGTTGGAAAGTAGCCTTAGTCACAGTTCAGCCTAGTCCCTTTGTTCCCTCTGGGTTTTCTGGTAACTTCCTTGGCGGGCTAAATCCAATCTGTCCGGTGGAGCCTTCGTCCTGTGGCCACTGCTCTTCTGAGTGATGAGGGCCAACTCACCTGCCATCTGCTTTTCTATCCCTTGTGGGCAATCAGAGGGCCCGTGCCTGTGCCTCAGAGTGTTGTAAATGGGAAGCTTGCCACATGTCATGTTTACAGTTCCCAAGCCAACTAAAGATTCCAAAACCAAGCCATGGTCAGTTGATAAAAGTTTCCAAAAGCATTTGAGCCAGAGCTTTCATTCTCCTCCTCAGATAACTTATTTCAGGAAAAAGATTGCACACAATATGCATTGTGCCCATTCGGAGGAGTTCACCCTGAATCAGACAGATGGTGGCTTTTTAAAATAAACGTCCACTTCAACAGAACAATAGTCTCAATGGCACTTGCCATCTCTCCTCTCTGGAATGTCAGCATTTGACTGAGAGAACTGGGCTGCCTAAGAAAAAGTAATTTTGTACCTCATTCTTTCACATTCACATTTAGTTTCCTTTGCAATTAATAGATATATTTGATAATACCAGAACTTTTCTCTTACACTCATGACTTCCTAATATTGGTAAGTTTTGTTTCACTGTATACACCTTCAAAAATGGCCCTTCTCTCCTGTTTCTTTTATCTCCAGTGGGATCTTTGTTCTTTTTTCTGAGAAAACCTTTAATTTCCTCCATTTATCTCCATATACTTAAGAGAGGTATATGAAAATGAGGCAAGTGGTACTCTGTGTTGTATTTTGCCATGCAGAACCAGTTATGCCTTTGCCAACATTTCCTATGTCCCTTCCATGTGCCAGGCATTGTCCTAGCCACTAGGCATAGATGCTTCATACAGCAGAGTGTGGAAAACACACACACACACACACACACACACACACACTCACGATGGACGGGACGAAGGCATTGCAGGGGCAGTGGAAGGAGTTCAAAGAGTAAGTGAGGGCCTATCTCGGGCAGTGGCAGGGAGATGGATTGGATGCCTACATAAAGCAGGTAGACTAACTCAGTGTGGACCAGCTAGATTTGCTGGGGTGCAGAGGGTGATGAGAAGAGGATCAAGGACTTTGTGTAGCATCACACTGGAAGAGTAGGTTTGGGAGGAGGAGGTAAGAGAGAGAAGGGGGAGGAAAAGGAGAAAATAGCTTCTCAGAAAAGCAAGGAGAAAATGTAGCTCTACCTTCAGCAGAGTGGTCAAGCAAGACATAGGCTTCGGGGGGGGGGGGGGGGGGGGAGCACATGGCCGCTTCTAGCAGCCTCAAGTCTTTACCTAGAGCATTGGGTGTAATAGGACTTAGAACTGAATTACTTCAAGGAAAGAGGCAAACATAGTTCAGATAACAGCAACACCAAAAAGAAAGAAAGGATTGTAGTGCCTAAGAATGGAAAATGCACAGGAGAGGGCTGGGCTGAAGACCGGCAGCCAGAGTGGAGTGATACTCCACACAGGAGGCCTGCACAAGCTTCTCTAACCCACATTTCTACT